AGCTCCATCGAGTGGGGTTCCAGAGTCTCTCACCCCTGGTGGGTTTGCGGGCGACGTTCTGCAAACAAGCCTGTTTCTTCCAGCCACAGAGAAATGTGAGGTGACATTTTCTAAAAGCGTCACTTTGTAAAAATGCCAGGCTTAATCTCAAGGCACAAAGAACATCATAGAAATCAGAGTGGACTCGAGGAGTCTTGGCCAAGGTGGGGTTTAAATGGCAAGTGCGGGGCGCCTGGGTGGCTCAGTCAGTTAAGTGTCCGTCTTCAGCTCAAGTCATGATCTCACGGTTCGTGGGTTCAAGCCTTGCATCGGGCTCTGTGCTTACAGCTAGCTCAGAGCTTGGAGCCTGCTTCAGATCCTGTGTCTCCCTCTCTCTGCCCCTCCCCTGCTCACGCTGATCCTCTCTCTCTCTCTCAGAAATAAATGAAAAAACATTAAAAGTTTTTAAAAAATAAGTGGCAGATGCTGTGCGCTTGTATTGTTCCGCTGTGGTTGTTTCCCAGGTGATACAGCTTATTGAAGACAGGGACCACAGGAACATCTCTGTAGAGAACAGTGACCTGTTACAGGTTTGAAGATTATAAATACAGTAAAGCCTTGATTTGCAAGCAGAATTTTTCCCGGAAACATGCTTGTCATCCAAACCACTTGTGTATCAAAGCGAATTTCAAGAACCATTGGCTCCGTTGTGATCATGTAACGTTCAGCATCATGTGAGACTCGTATTGCAAGACATCACTCGTTTATTAAGTTCAAATTTATTAGAAATGTTTGCTTGTCTTGTGAAACACCGGCAGAACAAGTTACTCGCAATGCAGGGTTTTACTGTATTATCTTAGATTTAGAAACTGCCTGTGTTTCATGGAGTCCATTGACGTCCACCTTGTTTATGTTTATAATATCTTTGGCTAGGGGAAGGCAGTGTTTAGAGGAAGCCACTTTTCCATTGACGAAAACCATGTCTACAAGGGAACCCCAGTATAACTCTGTCTTCAAGTTCTCCTATTCTGTTCAAATGCATTTAAAATGCTCATAAGGGGGCGCCTGGGTGGCTTAGTCGGTTAAGCGTCCGACTTTCGCTTAGGTCATGATCTCGCGGTTCGTGGGTTTGAGCCCCGCGTCGGGCTCTGTGCTGACTGCCAGCTCAGAGCCTGGAGCCTGTTTCAGAGTCTGTGTCTCCCTCTCTCTGCCCCTCCCCTGCTCACGCTGTCTCTCTCTCTCTCCTAGAAATAAATAAAACATTAAAAAAAAAATTAAAGTGCTCATAAGAAGTAAACAAAACTTTGGCTCCTTTCAGAAAAAGAAAGTAAAAAACTAGTCAAGCATAACTGGAGAAAGACGCAGAGCTCTGGTCCAGCTAATTCCTTGGGTGTGTAAGGTCGGCACTGAATCAGGGAGAGGAGGTGCTGTGGGTCTGGTTGCCAGGCAACAGTTCCCATGGGGAGGAGAACATCAGCCCCAGTGAGTTGGCCGTTTGCTACAGGAAAGGTGGGCCAAGACCCAAGAAAGGAGGGGCCTCTGTTTCTGAGCTGCAGAAGGAAAGATACGCAAATAAAGACCCAAAGGGTGGTCACTGGGTTACAGTGCAATTAGCAAGCGGTTCTTTGCAATCCAGACACCAGCTAATTAGTGAGGTGTGAAGAGCTCATTCTGACTTTCAGATAGTTCAGAAGATGGGCTGAGGGTCAGCTTTCTGAAATCTGGAGGCACTGAAAAAGAGACCGTCGAAGGTTTTCCTGAAAGAGATTTGCAGATAGTTGAGCTTAATGTCAAAATGGTGTCCTCACATTTCTGGGAAGCTGTGTTGCTAAAAGTGAGCTGTGGAATCTCGCGGTGCTTCAGTGTTTTTCATCCATAAAACAGGCATAATGGCACTACCTACCTCATGAAGTTGTTGCAAGAATTAAGAGTCAGTATGTATGCAGCACTTAGAAGAGTGTTTCCATGTAGTAAGTGCAGTGTGGCTGCTAGTTTCTATTGCTTTATTTTTCTCCCCTCTTCCAGATCAGAACAGAAAATCTGATCTCTTTATGCATTTTAATATTAAGCATTTTCTTGTAGCTGAAGTTTGTGAAATCATGGTAGTGACTCGACTTTGTACATAGTTCATACTGTGTATCAGTCAGGATGTGTAGATTTTACTTGGTAACAAGCAGTCTTTGGTGGCTGACTACTCACACAAGTCTTTATCTTTTGTTCATGCCCAGTGAGAGTTTGTAGTAGTTTCCTAGGGCTTCCTTTTTTTTTTTTTTTAATATTTTTATTTATTTCTAGGAGAGAGAGACAGCGTGAGCAGGGGAGGGTCAGAGAGAGAGGGAGTCACAGACTCTGAAATAGGCTCCAGGCTCTGAGCTGGCAGTCAGCACAGAGCCCGACGCGGAGCTCTAACCCATGAACTGCGAGATCATGACCTAAGTGAAAGTCGGATGCTTAACCGACTAAGCCACCCAGGTGCCCCTCCTAGGGCTTCCATAAGAGAATGCCATAGACTGGGCGGCTTAAATAACAGAAATGTATTTTCTCATGGTTCTGGAGGCTGGAAGCCCCAGATCAAGGTGCCGCATGGTTGGTTTCTGGTGAAGCCTCTCTTCCTGGCTTGTAAGAGTCCTTACATGGCCTTACCTCTGTGCACATGTGGGGAGAGAGAGAGAGAGAGAGAGAGAGATCTGCGTTGTCTTTTCCTCTTCTTTTTAAAAAAAAATTTAAAAACTTTTTATTTTAGAGAGAGAGCACATGCATGAGCATGGGAGAGGGGCAGAGGGAGAGAGAGAGAATGTTAAGCTAAGTGTGGAGCCTGACTCAGGGCTCAATTCCACAAGAGTTGGGCTCTCAACTGACTGAGCCACCCAGGTGCTCCATGTTTCTTCCTCTTCTTCTTTTAAATGTTTTTTAATGTTTATTTATTTTTGAGAAAGAGAAAGAGACAGAGCAAAAGCAAGAGAGCAGCAGAGAGAGACACACACAGAATCCGAAGTGGACTCTAGGCTCTGAGAGCCTGATGTGGGCCTTGAACTCATGTACTGCAAAATCATGATCTGAGCTGATGTCAGACGCTTAACTGACTGAGCCATCCAGGCACCGCATGTCTCTTTCTCTTCTTCTGAGGACACAAGTCCAATGAGATTGGAGCCACATCCTTCTGATCTCATTTAACCTTAATTATCTCCCATTATCTCTAATTACAGATACATTGAAGGTTAGTTAGGTCTTCAACATATAAATTTCAGGGGGATACAATTCAGTGCAGGTTGGTGGTGGAGTTGGGGCTTCTGTTCATGACACTCATTTGGAGACCCTGGGGACTGAAGGATGAGCTGGGGGCTTCATCTCAAGCCATGCCCACCTCTCCCACCTCAACTCATACTAAATGCCCCTTTGCTCACTCTGCTGCCCCTGGCTGCATGGTGTTCCCCAAACACAGCCCTTAGCCAACTTCCTATCTCCTCTGCCTAGACCATTCTTTCATGACCAGTTCATCTCATTCTTTAGATCTTCACTAAAACAGTACCTTCAGAACACCCATCTAAAGATGGTCCTCTGTGCCAGACTCTCATCATTTCACCCTAGTGTGTCATCTTAACATTTATGTATTTCTCGATCTACTCATTAACTGTTTAAACCTAAGCTGCATTATGACAAGAACTTTGTCTTGTTCACTGCTGTATCCCCAGGGCCTCGTATATAGTAGATACTCAGTAAACATTTGTTGAATGCATGATTGAGTGTCTGTCTTCTAGAATGTATACTCTCTGAGAATAGGAGCCTTTATTTTTTGCCTTGTTTATCCCTTGGCACAGGATAAAGTGCTCAATAAATGTGGATTGAATGAATAAACAAGTATCTGGAGACTCATCCTCATTGGTGCTCAGATTTTCATGCGTCGGGCAAGTTTTCCTTTAGGCTCACTGAGTAAATGGAGGGTGTAGAATTCACCCACCTGCAATCCTCCCCCTCTTCCCCTGATGGCACAGTGAGGATTCACATTATTGTATGTGAAGTGCTTAGAACAGCATCTGGCCCATGGTAGGTTCTAGTTAGCATTTATGGTTATTGATTTTTAAAAAATGTATTTATTTTAGAGAGAGAGAGAGAAAGCATGCAAGCGAGGGAGGGAGATGGGCAGAGGGAGACAGAGAGAGAATCCTAAGCAGGCTCCACGCTCAGCACAGAGCCTGATGTGGTACTTGATCGCTGGGATCATGACTTGAGCTGAAATCCAAAGTTGGATGCTTAACCCACTGAGCCACCCAGGCGCCCTGTTTATGGTTATTGTTTTAAAGCCCTTTCTCACATGTGCTCAGATGTCATGCTTTTCTGGACTGGAGGGTGTGAAGCTTCTTTTTAAATTAGCCAACCATCCTTCAAGTGAAATCTTAAGGGGACCCTCAATATATAAAACAGAGGTTACAAGGGCTCCTCTGGGCATGGCTGGAGTGAATGTCCCAGAAGCTCTCAAACTCCCTGGGGGACTTGCATCTTTGGGTGGTTCTGAAGCACATGGGAACTTCCTAGAAGCTTCCGTACCTGCTGTTTGAAGGCCTCCTTCAGATGTAGCTTGTTTTCCCCACTCCTGTCACGCGAAAACCCTTCGAGGGTAGTGCTGTGCTTACCCTCCATTTGTGCCCTGTGGACAATGACTGGAGGACACACCCAGCTCCAGAAGTGACATTGCACACTGGAGCGTATTGTGTGGGTGGGCAATGCTTATGCCACCCCCCACCCACTGCTCCAGCCCCTCCTCTGCCCACCGCTCCCCAAGGCCACGTAGCACCCAGGTCTGGATTAAGATCTACAGAGGCCCTGACCTTGAATCTCCCCTTCTATCACCATCTGAGTGGTTCAAAACCCAGAGTTCCACACCTTAAGAGCAGGGCACCCCCACCCCGCCCCTTCCGTTCCAGGGGAATACTCCTGCTCTGCACTTCGCAAGCGCTCACCCCGCCAACTTTCAGGCAATCCTGCAGACCTCTCGTTCACCCCTCCCCCTGCCTCTTTCCCAGGCCTCGAGGAAATCCAGTGCTCCCTGCCCCTGGGGAACAGGAGGGTATTCCTGCACGAGCTGTCGGAGGCCAGCTTCAGCGAGTGCAGGTTCAGCCTGTCGCTCACAGACCTGTTCATCATCATCTTCTCGGGCGTGGCGGTGTCCATCGCTGCCATCATCTCCAGCTTCTTCCTGGCCACCGTGGTGCAGTGCTTCCAGAGGTGTGCCCCCAACAAGGACGCCGAAGATGAGGAGGACGAAGATGAGGAAGACTGAGCCGCCCCTCCCTTCCGGGATTGCCAGAGCCCGGGCGGGGCTCCCTCCGAGCCTAGAGGGAAGAGGGGAGGCGGGAAGTGGGAAGCAGTCAACTTCCTGCGGTGCCCAGACCTGCCCCCAGCTGTGAACCTGGCCATGCACCTGGCTGTGCACCTGGCCACGCACCTGGCCATGCACCTGACTGTGCACCTGGCCACGTACCTGGCCATGCACCTGGCCACGCACCTGGGCGCACACCCCGGGTGCCCGCTGGGACCTCCCATCTCAGAGTTTAGGACCTTAGGGGTGGATGAGCCCAGGAAGGATTCTGGAAGGACCTGCCTCTTGGCCTGAGGTGCGAGAATAGGGTAGAAAGAGGCTTCCCTGCTGACCTTGAACCCCAAGCCAGGGGGAGCAGATGCTTGCAGCTCCCACCACCAAGCTGGTTTGCGCATCTGTTCTCTGGCCTGGCCTGGGACACTGGCCTCTTCCTCCTGGGACGCAGCCGCTCAGATGGGGACTCGCGTCCAGGGCCCTGTCCTTGGACTGGACCTCTCCTTCCATAACGAACTTCAGCAGCTTCTGGGGGTCCACAGAACGAATCCCCATTTGGCTAAAGTGGCACCGAGGGAAAAGCTAAGATCTGGCCAAAGGGCGCTTGTTGCTGTAATTTGGCGAGCGGATGAGGAAAGCTTGCTGACAGAGCTCATAGCCTGGTCCTCAGCCTGAGAGGAAGCAACTCGTAGGGGAAAGAGGGTCCGTCTCGTATACAGTCTCCACGGCCTCTGTGCCCGGTCACTCCTTCCCCTGAAACACAGCCAGTTGTCTCCCTTCCCAGCCCCCTCCCCTGCCCCCCAGCTGGAGTCCCTCCTCAGCCAGCGAACCCCTGGCCGGTCTCGGTGCTGGCACAGGTCCAGACTTGTCGTCTCCAGAATGACAGTCCCCCCGAGGCCAGGATTCCAAAAAGCAGGTTTCACGGGACCCACAAAATGCTAAGAAGCAACAGCAAAAACGACAAAACCCAAACCTGAGATGTGGCCTCTGAGAAACCTCTGTCAATTGCCTTGGGGTGTGTGAGACATTTCTTTGGAGCTTAGCGTGTGACAGGCTGTGTTTTCCTGACGTGGAAGACGGCGCTCGGTTCAGAGATAATGTGAAACCACGTCGTGCGCCTGGCGGTTAATGCAAGGCGACGGCGTCAGCAGCATCGGACCCTGCTGGGGACTGAGACTGAGGGAGCCCAAGAGAAGCCTCTGGGGTGTTTCTGGGAACCCGTCTCCATTGTTTCTCATAATATATTCCTTATGTGTTCTTCCTCCGTTGCTCATGGCTCCCTCCCATCTCTGCCTCCACAAAACACCCACTGCGCGCTTGCTGAGGGCCAGGCACTGGTCCGGGCAGTGTGGGTGTGCACTGAATAAGAAGACAGGTCCCCTGCTCACCTGGCCTCTATTCTTTTATTTATTTATTTTGAGCGAGACAGAGAGAGAGGAGGAGGGGTAGAGAGAGAAGGAGAGAGAGAATCCCAAGTAGGATCCATGCTGTCAGGGCAGAGCCCGACTCAGGGCTCGATCCTACAAACTGCAAGATCACAACCTAAGCTGAAACCAAGCGTCAGATGTTCAACCGACTGGCACCCAGGCACCCCTCTCTTGGCCTCAGTTATTATGGGGAGAACATAAAACAAGCAAGTAGACAGAACTGTAATTGCAGATGGTGATAGGCACCATGAAAGAAATAAATGAGGTCCTGCAACAGAGTAATGGGTAGAAGCTATACAAGAATGGGTAGTAGGGTATATTATCCAGGGATCTCCAGAGAAACAGAACCCATAGGAGATATGTGTTCTATATATCTATTACTGTTTGTCCATCCATCCATCCATTCATCCATGCAATCATCCATCCATCCATCCATCCATCTAGATTATAAGGAATTGCTCACATTATATGGAAACTGTGAGGTCCCACTTTCTGCAGCTGGTCAGCCGGAGACCCAAGAGAAAACTGGTGTAGTTCCAGTGTGAGTCCCAAGGCCTGAGAGCCGAGAGAACCACTGGTCTCCATTCTAGTCCAAGAGTAGAAGAAGACTCAGCTGAAGCAGTCAGGCAGACAGAGAAAGCTGGGGGCGGGGGGAATAATTCTCCCTTCCTTCACCTTTTTGTTCTGTTCAGACTCCCAATGGATTGGATGCTGCCCGCCCACACTGGGGATGACATTGTGCTTTGCTGCGTCTACAGATATAATGCTATTCTCCTCATCCAGAGACATCCTTAAGGACATACCAGGAAATAACATTTAACCACATACCCAGGCACCCTGGACCCAGGCAAGATGATGCATGGAATTAACCCTCACATCAGGGAAGGTCTCATTGGGTAGCTTCAGGCTGAATCCTGTTTCCTTCCCTCACTTCTTTGCTTCCTTCTCTCCCTCTCTCCTTTCCTCTTCTTCCACTCTCTTCCTCTACTCCTCTTCCCCCTTGAAGAGGCTCAGGCATCCCATCTGGCCCCCAACATTGTTAGCCCCAGGAGAGGAGACCACTAGCTAAGGGAGGTGTCGTGTCACAGAGCCACTGGGCAGGCGGGCACATCTTTCCCATGCTCTGTGGCACCTCAGCACTGGAGGGACCCACCTCTGTGGGCTCCCCCTCAGCTCAGGTACCACTTCCTTTGAGAAGACAATATGAGCATCCTGAAAGTGGTCATCGTGCACATTAGGTGCTGCATGAATTCCAGGTTCCAGCCATCACGTGCACCTTCTGTGAATGAAAGCTCACGGAGAAGGTGTTCAGTCAGGGGACGGACTCTGCCGACACTGGGCTACCCGAGAATATGGAAAAGACCATGGCGGAGGCGTGCATCATTGGCTCCGAGGCTGAGAGTGTGAGGCCCAAAACAATGTAACATCAGCACCTCCCCAGCCTGGCCATGGACTCACTGAGATTTGTGTGGGGTCAGAATTGCTGTCCATTGTCATGGGGTCTGATCCACACCCCCAGGAGGACCCTGCAAGGGACACCGCTAAAGGCCCCAGATCCAACTGGCCCCCACCAAAGTTACAACTTGTTCCTCCCAGAATCCTAGGGAAATGGTGCCTCGAGCTATGGAATTAGTACTATGGCCTTGGTCTGATAGGTTCCAGTGGGTGAATTCCCACTTAATGAGTCTGTTTTACCCCTTGTGGCCAATGGACTCAGCTGTTTCCTTAGAAGACACAAGCCCCGCCCAGCACAGGGGCCTGTGGTCATTTCCTGAATGAACAAGTGAATGGAGGAGGGGCACTCATTGGGTGCCCATCAACCCCCACTTCTGCTGGCTGTACCCCAGAGTTTTGGAAGGAACGTGACTCTGGGGAAGAAGGGCTTTAAAATATTACCAGTTGAAACAGTCACTGCCTGGACATAAAGCCTGTGAAACACTCAGGACTCTGGGGACAGGAGGGACATCCAAGCCCAGGAAAATACATACCGGCCAGGAGACCCAGCTCCACTGGGGAAATGCCTTCAAGAAGTGACAGCAGCACAAACAACAGGCAGTGACTCAGTGACCTCTGACTGGCCTTGGGGTCTCCGGTTATAACCAACAGCAACAGACAATGCTACATATCAACTGAGGGCCTCCTGCACCAGAAATGCCCCTGGTCAGATCGCTACCAGTGTCACTGAGTCTCCAATGTCACTTCCTCAGAGTAGCACAGCACCCCGTGCTGCTTTCTGCACAGCACGTCCCCATGATGTGACATTACTCCACTTGTTTGCTTATGTGCTTATGGTCTACCTCTCTGGACTGGAACACAAACTCCCCAAGAGCCTGTCTGGGGAGCCGTCTGTGTCTCGGGCTGTCTGTGTCTGTGTCCCCAGGTTTAGAGCTGCGCCTGGCACACAGCGATGGCACAACCCATATGCATGTCGGTTGAAAGACCAAACAAAAGAATTCCACGCACCATATCGGAAACACTACAAACATGAGCTCTTTTTAAACATCTTTATAACTCCAGGGGAGAGCTGCTATTATCCCAATTTTACACATAAGGAGGGAAACTGAGGCTCAGAGAAGGTGAGTAGGTGACAGGACATGGCAGAGGTAGATCAGGTTCACATTTGGACTTGGAGGCCTGTGCTCCTGGTTATGATCTTAGTTTGTGTGCATTGAGGACACTCTGTGCTAGATGTTGGACCGGGCCCATGAGGCAATTCACAACCCTGTAAGGCAGTGTATTCATCCGGGTTTCCCCGAGAAATAGAACCGAGAGGATGTGTATAGACGGAGAAAGAGATTCATTCCAAGGAATTGGTTCATGTGATTGCGGAGGCTCACAAGTCCAAAATCTGCAGCACAGGCAGGTAGGCTGGAGACCAGGGAATGAGCTGACCTTGCACTTCAAGTCTGGGTGCTGCCCCCTGTATAATTCCCTTTTTGTTCCATCGAGGCTGATCCTATGAGGCTACAGTATGACTGGGCAATCTGCTTTACCCAGACTCCAACAATTTAAATGATCTCAGCTAAAAACACCCTTGTAGAAACATCCAACATAACATTTGACCGCACATCTGAGCCCCAGCCAATTTGACCCAGGAAAGCAAACCATCACTGACGGGTACCATTATTCCTTCCCCTTTACAGATCCCTGGCGCCTCTGCGTGGCCATTGAGAGAACTGGTTTGATCCTGGGAGTAACTTGCCTGGCAGGACACAGCCTATGAGGGAGTGGAGTTTGGCCAGAGGCATGCAGACTGCAACACACTCTCTCCACCCAACTACATGCCCTTCTCATGCCAGCGGGAGCGGACTTGACAGGGACAGCACGGGGGTGGCACTCTTCTCAGAGCTGTGTGCTGGGATCCAGGAAGGGCAGCCCACACTTGCTGGGTGCGCCCAGGATGAATTTATTGGGAGTCTCGAGTCTAATGTCTCAGATGCCTTCAGGAGAGTCAACACCACCAGAATATCTTGTCTCATTGTCTTGCTCTCCTTACTGTCTAATGACCAGGATTCTGAGAGCATCACAGATGAGTTCATC